GACAGATGATCTGAAGATAGTAAGAGACCATAGATGCCAGTCCAGACTACTACAGCTAGCAATGCTTTCAATAATCACACATGGAGAAAACAGGATATTCCATGACAAAATCAGATTTAAAAAATACATATCCACAAAACAAGCCCTACAGAATGTACTGGAATGAAAATTACCACTCAAGGAAGTTAGCAACACAGACAATAGATAATCCCACACTAGCAAAATCAAAAGAAGGGAAACACACATACACATTACAACCTACAACAACAAAACCAAAAATAACAGGCACTATCATTCACTGAACATTACTATCTCTAAATATCAATGGTCTCATTTTGACTACAAAAAGACTCAGGCTAACAAAATATATACAAAAACACAACCCTTCCTTCTGCTACATATATGAAACACACCCCAATTTCAAAGGCAGGTACTACCTCAGAATAAAGGGTTTGGAAAAGATATTTTCAATCAAATGAACTAAAGACACAAGCTGGTGTAGCTATCTCAACACCTAACAAAGTAGATTTCAAGCTAAAATTAATCAAATGAAATGAAGAAAGACATTTCATATTCACCACAGGAAAAGTCCATCAAGATGAAGTTTCAATATTAACATCTATGCCTCAAATATAAGGCCACACATATTTGTAAAAGAAACTGATGGGGGAGTTCTTTCTGTGTAAATATTTGTCTTATTGGTTGATTAAAAAAAAAAACACTGTTGGCCAATAGGGAAGCAAGATAGGTGGGTTAAGATTTAAGCAGGATTCCGGGAAATGTAGTAAAGACAGAAGTCACCATGTGATCACAGGAAGAGAGGATGCATGCTGCAGGTGTCCTTGATAAGATAAGTCTTTATAAAATATATAGATTAATGGTTATGGTTGATACTTAAGACAGAGCTAGCAAATGAGAATCCTAGTCATTGGTCAGCAGCATTGTAAATAATATAAGACTCTGTGTGATTTTTGGGTCCCTAAAATGGAAGCGGGATTCAGGAGTCTGGAGGAGAGAGTTACCATTACAAATGGCACCCAGGTAGTTTTACAAACTTCCATATAAAAACTCCACAAAATCTTAAAAAGGGATTTTTAGGAGCCAAAGAACAGAAACAAGCGAGACTTCTTGGTAGCAGCATTTTCTCAGATGGTCTTTGTTTTGCTAGAGACAAGCAGAGACTTGAGTTGCTCCCTTAAGGGAGGTTTCCTGATTCAGCATAAGTGGAAAAAGCTGCAGGGCTCTCTTTTAAGAGGCCCTGCTAACAATTGAATGATGTGTACAAGCAGCTGGCAGTGGCAGTGAACACATCTCCAAGCCGGCAATATCCTCCTTGATGGCAGTATTGACCAAGTCGATAAGCACAGCTCTCAGTCTTGGGAGTAAATATACCTGTTATGATAAATCTTTCCGCCAAAAGCCGCCTGAGCCCCACTGCCAGGTGCATGCTTTTTGTAAGCCGCCTGCCTGAGTTAGGGCCCAAAGGAATACACAGAAACTTTTATTAGGTTCAAAGCTGCTTGGCCAATGACTAGGATCCCTCGTCTGTTAGCTCAGTCTCAAGTATCATAAATCTATATATTTTTTAAGACTTATCTTATCGGACACCTTATTGGCGTCCCTCCTTGCAGGTGGCTAACATCCTGCCACTGGAGGAGGCGAACGGGAAAAAAGGAACCCTTCCTGATTCTCCTTCGCTTAAATATGAGTCTTCTCACTATGCCACTTCCTGCCTGGATCAGCACTTCTCTACTACATTTCCCAGAATCCTCTTTGACTCCTAGTTTCATCTAACTTGCTGTCTCATTGTCCAAACAGTATTTTATTTAACAATCAATAAGATAAACATACACAGGAGTACATTCCCCATCATCTCCTCTTTTCTATCTAATTAAAAAGAAGGGTAACTTATCTTTTATAATAACTGAAGAAAACTATAACCATAACAATCTGTCTTTAACTCTATTAAAGACCACAGAAGGAAAATCTATAAACTCTAGAATTAACAGAGACATCTCGCTACCTGAACAATCACCCAAAGTTTCTCTGTAACATTGGGGCATCCATCTTCAGCCCATAGGCCACAGTGGCTGGCAAACTTTTTCATTTTAGCAGGAACCATTTAGTACTGTCTTGTTTTGTAAGTTTAGCAGTTACTTTCCTGTGGGTCCTGTATGTCCAGCTTATACTGTAACAAACAGTCTAGGCAAGAGCAGTTTCTTGCCCAAATGGCTAATCTTGTCATGTTGAAAGTAAATTCAGGCTTGGACACCTCTTTCAGATGACTTTAGGGTTTAGTTAAAATAGATAGTTAGGATGTGACATAAGCAGATTGTTGTATCTTCTTATATTTTCATTATGATTGTTAATTTTGGATACTTTACACTGTTAAGTCTTAATCCTCTTTTAGACTAAAAGGGGAATTGTAGGGGAAGCTGTAGCCACGCCTACTCAGGGGCTGGCTACAAGTGTGCCTGACCACGCTTGCGAGGGCGTGGTCAGGGTGACATAGAGCGATACTGCGTTTTCTCTTTCGGTTTCACTTTTGTACTTGCAGTACAGACCGCTGCCACGCCGGCTGGCTAGGTTGCTCTGTAAGTAAGGCTTTTCCCTATTAAATACCCTTATATTTCTACCTGACTCCGTATTGGCTATTTCTCACTGTAGGTATCTCTCTCAATAAGTCTTTATCTCTCAATTGAACAGTGAAGCAGAGCTCATGCCTCTAATTCTAGCAATTGAAAGGTATTTAAGTTAGAGGCATTCAGTCTTAAGAATTTGTCTCTAGTCAAGTTGAGGAGACATTAGCAGTCTGATTGAATCTGATGACCACTGCAGTCAGGAGGAGTCTAAGGGTCCCCTCTTTGGTCTGAGAATCAGTAAGAGCTAGTGGATTCGCTGCTTTGTCTCTCTGATCTTCAGCTAGAAGCTTGAACCCCAATATCAGTCTCTGGATCTTTTGATTTTTGTGTTACAATCAACATATTCTCATGGATGGAATAAAGCCTGATGAGATCTTACTCTTCACTAACAGGCTATTAGTAGCTATTGACTTCTGGGAAAGACTGTGAATTGTCTTCAGTGTTGTAGCCATTATTGCCATTAGTCGTTAATATGCTGCCATGTTCTAGTACATAAGATCAAACCCATGTACATTTAAGCCAATAAAATTAACTCACTGATTCAAAAAAATAAATCATTACGTTTGAAAAAGTTTGTTGAGAATAATAGCTTAAGTGTTAAATAAAGAAGATAGTTGGGAGTAAAAATAAAATATAAAATAATCATTGTTGAACATTTTAAAATTTCCAAAATATGCAATAAATTCTAAAACAATAAATAATGAACAACTAGGAAGTATATGGGACACCACTGAATGAATACAAACTTGTGATCTTGAGTATATGGAAAGAGCTGAGGAAGGTAAACGTACAGAAATCATAGCTAATGAAGTTCTGTCTGAACATCTAGTTCTGGAAGCTCAAAGACTACAAATAAATTCAATGCTAACCACCTGTCTAATATCACAGGGAAAAAACAATAAAAGACACACAAAGAGAAGAGGGAAGGGATAAGTTACATCGAAAGGACAGTAATTTCTTAATAACAATGGAAGAGTTTGGAGATAATAGCCAAAGTTATAACAAGAAAAAATAAGTAAAATCTCCCTGCCCCTGGGAATAACAGAAAATTTCAGAAATGTAAGAAACACAAGCACCTTCTAGAAACAAAATAAGGGTAATTTAATCTGGAAATGGGTTCACATTAAATTGACCAAATATACACAAATATAGAAGAAAAAATTAAAATGTTATCAATAAATGAAAACACCAAACAAAAACAAATATTGGAACAATGGGAGGAAAATACTAAAAAACGAAAATTCGAGCATGGATATCTTCTTACACATCACTAACTGTGCATGTGTGTGAAATAAAATATGGAGACAAAATAGCTGGAAGGAGATAAAAAGAAATATTATTTAAACAGAAATGAAAGAATTCATGAGTAACAGAGTCTGAACTTAGAGATTCAGTGAACATTCTTTACACAAACAGGAAAGGAAGAAGAGTAAAATATGCAATGTTTATATTAATAAAATGGAATTAAAAACAAAAACATAAAAAGACAAATAAAATAATTATATAGTAAATGTGACAGGTTAATGAAGAAATATGTCAGTTTTGTGTCTTTTTACAGGATAATGTTTAATGATAAAGAAAGAGGAGGGCTATAAGATCAGAATGAGGTTTTTGGTCAGCCTTAGCCACATCATTCATGGTTTCTGAGAATGCCACTGTTCACAATTCTCCTGAGGCAATTTCATTGTTATTACAGATGAAGAGAACTGAGACTCATGACAGGTGAGGTGTAGCCAAGGCAGTTGCTCATATTACAACTCCCTCTGCTTCAAGAAATAATATGGAGTACTGCAGTGACTCACTCTCTAACAAACAGATATGTAATGTGTTTGGCAGCAGGGCCACCCCAAGTAAGGATGTTTTTGTAAGGGTCTGAATCAATGTGTGAGGAGCATGAGAACCTTGAAAGCAGAAATATACTCCAAAATCCTCAGGCTCCATTCTACTGATCTTGAGAGTGAAATCTGTGCCTGAACCACTGCCACTAAACCTGTCTGGCACCCCAGAAAATCGGTTGGAAACCTTGTAGACCAAGAGCTTTGGAGACTGCCCTGGCTTCTGCAGGTACCATTCCAAATAGGTGTTTCCATCACTATGTACAAGGCTCTGACTAGACTTGCAAGAGATGGAGACTTGCTCTCCAAGGCTGACAGACAAGGAGGGTGGAGATTGTGTCATCACTACATCACCTCTGGAAGCTGAAATAAAGACAGAGAAGCACAAAGTTAAGGACTTACTTTTTGAACAGCCTTTATGCATTTTTGCTATTTATTTCAGATGATATGTTTATTTTACATAACATTCTTTACACATTAAATTTCCCGTATTGGTTAGCCAAATGAATATAAAGAACTAAAGCGCTCCAAGGCATGAATTATACCATCCTATTCTATCTGTGTCATAATCTTCAAAATAGAACAATTTATCTCCTATCTGAAAACTCCCTCAAATAGATGTTAACCTATCAGTTCCCAACCTGGAGGATAAGAACACATTTGCATTCTCATACATGGATAGAATACATGTGATTAGGGACCCAGATGTAATCCTCCCTACCTATCCCACTTTCTCACTTCCCTCTGTCCTCACCAGGAATTGTGAACAAAAGCAGCACCAACAGAACAGGCAACTTCATTTTGAGGAAGCAGTCTGTGGAGACTGATCAGTCATCACAGGATGTCAACTGTACTTTTATCATAGACTAGGAAGGGTGGGTCCTCTCTAGGGAGCAATATGCAAAGATATGTTTTAGTGTCACAGTATAGATAGAGGAAAGTATCATGCTACCTTCTCCTGATTGCAAAAATCATGTAGTATATTTTTTACATCAGGAATGAAAATAATTATACAAAATGTGGTGTTTGATAGGAAAAGAACATTATAAAATCTGTCAATCTGTATGACACTAGACAATCAGTACTGTATCTCAGAAGCCCTAGGAGGAGTGAAAATGAGGAAATGTATGCAATTATTCCTTATGAGCTGAATAACTATGCTTTTGCTCCTCTTTGACCCATTTTACAAACAATTACCTCTTTTATGAATGTTAAATGTAGAAATTAGGAGCTATCTTTTCTGAGGTTTTTTGATTTGTCCAAGTATGAGCACAAAACAAATACTCATACTAAGAAGGTATATCTTAAATGTTTATCATAAAAATATAGACGTGATTGATACTAAAAATAATTGTCATAGGAAATATAGTTTGAGAAACAATGGATTATAGGGATGGGTTTCTGGTGTTTGTACCTATTGATATTTCACAGGTGAATTTCAACTAATTTGTTGTGTGTTGATTAATTTTTATATAACTTTTCATTCAATAAGTATACCTCAGTAAAAATATGTTTCCTCATTTGCTTATGTTTTCATGTGTACGTTTAAGTATGTTCACTCCATGGTACACATGTGAATAACAGAAGACACTTGTAGGAATCAGTCCTCCCCTAACATGTTGGTTCAAGGAAAATAAAGTTATTTCCTTTGATGGAATAAACTTTTATCTGTTGAGAAATCTCACCAGTTCTCTCAGTGAACTGAATTTATTACAGTAGAAAAATTTCTACAGGTGTTGATAACATAAAGGATAACTATGCTGCAATCCACAGAACCAGAGTTACTCAATAACAAGGAGAGTGCCTGGGACCAGAACATACAGATCTCCATGGAAATGGTAAATGTAAGTTATTTCATGAGTGGTCTGAGGGCATCTTGGGAAGGGAA